GGGCTTGTCACACCCACCGGTGGTAACCCCCATAGCAGGTCACATGGAGTCCCAGGATCACTGGTTTATTTCTGTCCCGCACAGCCCTTGCTCTTCCCTGTGGATGCCAACTGCAACGGCGTGTTCCGGCATCGCTCGGTCTCCCCCAGCAACCTGCTGGACACCACCATCAATGAGGAAGTCAGGCAGGGCCAGGGCCTCAAGGAGGAGCCAGAGGCACAGAGGCCTCTGCCTGGTAGCACAGGCCGGAGGCACACGCTGGCCGAGGTCTCCACCTTCTCCCCTTGCACCCCTCCGTGTAAGTGTCCACATGGGCAGGAGCGCAGCCTGGTGGGTGTTTATGGTCAGGACTACGAGGGGCTGATGCAAAACACACTGTTTCTCCTGGGTGGCTTTTTCTGGTTATAGTTCTTGGATCTGCCAATGGTTTAACCCCCGAGGCCACAAGGGTCACACTTAGATACTCCATGAGGTCATTCAGTGGTGGGGACAATGTGGGGTTTAGCTGCTCCCAGGTTGCAGGAAGATAGGTTCTCATCCCTGGCCCCTCTGTGTCCTTGGTCAATTCCACCAATCAACTGCAGCAAGGACCCCTGTGCCAGCTGACTGTCAGGGCTCCCTGGCCTCTGGTGGCCTCTGGCCATCATAGCTCCCACTCCTCCAAGGTTGAGGATAGATGGGGGGAGGCCTGTACAGCTGACTGCCCCGCCAGTGGGCCACAAGGGCTGTCTGAGGCCTGGGAGTCACTGCAGCGGGTGTGGGGAAGGCGGCAGAGCCAGTTCCTCTCCCATGAAAACTGTTGGGTGCTGGTGGGTTGCATCAGCCTTAGGGAGCATGAGAAGCCCCTCGCTAAGAGCCCTGCTCCTTTTGCAGGTATAGTCATCTCCACGGCGAATCCTTCGGAAGGCACCAGCTCTGACAGCTGCCTGACCTTCTCGGTGGGAGATAACCCCGCAGGGCTTAGTGGATGCCTGGCTGCTCAGGGGCTGGTGGGCACCTGCTCCCCACTCAAACTGGCCTCACCACTGCTGGGGGCCCAGTCTGCCACCCCGGTGCTACAGGCTCAGGGCGCCCCGGGAGGAGCTGCCCTGCTCCCCATCAGCTTCCAGGAAGGCCGGAGGGCTTCGGACACATCGCTCACTCAAGGTGACTTCCCCTTTCATTTCCACCTTCCCTAGGAGGTGCTGCGTGTGGCCCTGGCAGGTGTCCTTTTGTCCTAGATAGCAGAGGTTCCCCCATTCCCTAGCGGGGCCTGGGTGGAGCAGCAGCACTCCCTGGGCAGATTGGAGGTGCCACCTGGGTTCTGGACGACCTGGTCTCCTGGGACAAAGTCACCTGGCCTCTAGTGCCTGATCTTAAAAGCTCAAGAAACACTTGGATGCGAGGCAGCAGCTCCTGACCTGGAGGAGGGATGGGGTCAGGAAGGGAGCCTCCACACCTGGCTGCCTGTCCTCCCTCCATGCCACCCAGGGCTTGGGGTGCCCTGAGCCTCCTCCCTAGTCCCGTGGCATTGTGTGTGCTCTTCTATAGAGGATCTGTGGTCTGCCCAGGTACATGCCTATTCGGTGTTGGAACTGCTGCCCCAAACCAAACCTTAAAAGAAGATGATTTCCTAGGCTTGTGTGGGCTGGGGGGTCATGAAAAGCAATTAGATGACCACAGAGCACCCTCAGCCTTGTAGGAAAGCATCCCAGTTCTTTTCTCCATCGTTTCCATGTTGTCCGGCCCTCCTCCTCACCATCTGGAAACCCCAGCCGGCCTTGGGCTGCTGGTCCTGGGCTGTGCACGGAGGTCCCTAGACCATCCTCATTTGCTTCTCCCCAGGCCTGAAAGCCTTTCGGCAGCAGCTGAGGAAGAATGCGAGGACCAAGGGCTTTCTGGGCCTGAACAAGATCAAGGGGCTGGCGCGCCAGGTGTGCCAGCCATCACCCAGCCGGGCCACGCGGGGCGGCCTGGGCGCCTTCCAGCTGCCCGCGCAAAGCCCGGGCCTGCACGGCAGCGGGGCCGGCAGCCGGGAGGGCAGGAGCCTGCTGGAGGAGGTGCTGCACCAGCAGAGGTATGCCTGTTCTTCCACCCGGGACCGTGGCGCCCAAGGTCATCGGGATTTCTTGAGCAGCCTTGTCTCTTAAGCTTCCCCTTCTCCATGTAATCAGACGAGTGTGCCTCCCTCCCCCCAAGTGTGGGGAGACCTGTGGGGCCTTGTTCCTGCAGATGGTGGCAGGGGTGGGGAGCAGTCAGATGGTGTCACTTTGAAGCCTGTAAGTGGGGGAGGGGGAGCAGCGAATTAAAATGTCACATCTGGTTGGCGATGGAGAAGGGAAATGTCAGGAGTTGCTCAGGGGATTAGTCACGCACGGCATTTCGTGTCCTGGGCAGCTCCCGCCAGCACTTCATGGGGTGTGGAAACTGCTGGTGTCTGAGCCTGGCTGGGAAGAACTTGTCAGGAGGAGCAGTGCTCAGAGCCAGCAGTAACCTGTTCTCCCCCCCCCTTCCCTTGTGTCCCCCCAGGCTGCTCCAGTTACAGCACCACCCAGCAGCTCTGCCCAGCTGCCAGCAGGCTCCACAGCCACCGCCAGTCCCACTGGTCCTGGCCCCCTGTGACAGCGCCCTCCTTGTGTCTGGACTCCAGAAGGAGCTAGGGCTGGGACCTGGCCCAATGCTGCCGCCCCACCTCCTCCAGGCCGGGGTCTCCCCAGTGGCCTCAGCGGCCCAGCTCCTGGACACCCACCTGCACATCAGCGCTGCCACGGCACCTCTCCCCGCTGCCATGCCCCTGCAGCCACACTTTGCCATGCTGCCCCCGGGTTTCGACCCCATGGGGCTGCCACAGGGGGACTGTGAGATGGAGGACCTGACCTCCAGCCAGCTAGGCACGTTTGTCCTGGTGCAGTGAGGGACACTGCCAACCACCTTCCTCCCGCATGGGCTGCCGACTCCTCGAAGCAATAATCTCAGAGTATGTGAAGACGATTCTGGACTCAAAGCCAATAACTTCCTAGAAGCGAAACAAGCAATACGTTTGGTGTTTTGGCTTTTTAGTTTATTTTTTGTTTTGTTTTCTCCTTGCACTGAGCAACTGCTGCCATGAGTAGGGACTGGAAAGTTTCTGAAGAAAAATAATAATCGTGGGGGTGGGTGGACAGGAGGGGAAGGAGGGAAGCGACTAGAGACAGAGGACAGGGCTGGCCCCACTCACCAGTCCAGCGCCCCTGTGGATTGGGTGGTGGCAGGAGGGGACCATCGGCTCCCTTGTTCATGCGTGTCACATCACTGAGGGCATTGGACGAAGCCTTGGTGTGCGCCGCATGCTGTGGGAGCAAGTGTGTGCGTCTCCACCGCGTGTGCGTGTGCGGTGTTGAGTAGTATTCTTTTTTTAAATGAACAATTCTCTACTTCTGGAAACATCTATGCTTCGAATGAAAGCTGTGAACTTTGTGCTTTGTGCATCAGTTTTGAAAAAAGCTCTAACGGCCAGCCCAGGAGAAGATAATCTGCAATCTTGGAATTCTCTCCCCTGAAGTCGGAACACAGAGGATCGCATTTTCTTATTTGGATGAGTTATAAGCCGCTCGATGGTTGGTTCCAGGAGTCTTTGGAGGAGCTGTGAGGAAGAATCTTGAAGGGGCAGGCTGGCTGCGGGGTAGGCTCTGTCCCGACACTTGGCACGGGGCACGGGTGCCTGCAAGGGAAGTTACCTCTTGCCGCACATCTTATTTCCGCTGCTAATTAAGTTTTTATGCATTTCATTATCAGGGTCCAAAAAGAACAACTGACTGGGGGATGTGCAATATGGTGAGGCTGGGACTGGGACAAGCAGGCGGTGACCGGCCTGCACGCACGGGTCCCTGTCAGTGGACAGCCACACCTTCCCCAGCCCCGCACCTGTTAGACTTTCGTTCAGGAAAATGAAATGAGAGGTCAGGTCACTGTTGTTCAAGCTTTGTTCCTTTTTAAGCAAATACTGTATATGTGTATAAAAGACAGATAGACACTACTTATTTTTTATATTTTTTACTACACCTTTGTGTTCCTGGTTTAAATTCCCCTCTGGCAATGTTACAAAGCGCTACACCAGGTGCGTGTGGAGGAGGGAGACTAGGTGCTCCCTTACCTGGCAGGTAGACCCAGCTGGTGGCTCAGTGAGCCATGGGCTCTGGAGAAGGGAGGAGGCTATTGTGCGCCCTCCGCCTGGTCGGCACTGGTCCTTTACCCCCAGGTGCCTTCAGCTCACTTGGCTCTCACACCCTCAGTATTAAACTGGTGACGGCAGGGGAAGGTGGGCATTTATTTGTAAAAGCCAAAGATCACCGGAGTTCTGGAGGGTGGGGAGGCAGCGGCCCAGAGCGGTCACGGCCCCTGCCGGCCATGTGTCTGCGTTTGCCCAGCTTGCTGCTACTGTCCCTCCTGTCCCCACCGCTGCTGCTGCTGCTCTGTGGCTGCTTCAATGATCGGGGCAAAGGACGGTCATTGCGCCTGGCCGCTGAGAACTCCCCTAAGCCTCCCTCTGACTCATAAGGAAGGTTGGGAACAGAGAGAACCTGGGGTCATGGGGTGGCCAGGGCCTTTGCCTCCTCCTCACGGAGCAGCACGTGGGTCCAACACAGCCGGTTCCCCTTATGAAATTTCTGTTCCAACGCCAGAGATCAAAGGCCTCAGAACCATGACAAGCACTTTACTCTCGGTGGTTTTCTTTCGTTGCTGTAGTCAGGTGTGCGTCCTGTTTTTAAGTGTGTGTGGCGTGTGTTTTATAGGTTTCTCCACAGCACTGTCCTTGGATGAATGCTGTAGCCTGTTTAAAGGCACTACGCGATCTGATTAAGGTGTATATGGTTTGTTGTTTTTTACCGTAACAATTATTTTGTTTCTTATGTTAACATGAGAAATGTATGCCAAATGATTAGTGGATGTATGTTTTTTAATTTAATATTTAAATAAAATATTTGGGGAAAAAAACTTGACTTCTTCCCTTGACTCTGGGAGCACCTTCCTGCCAGCTGCTTCACTGAGAGACCAGGTCCTCCAGGCTCACTGATAGTTCAGATCATAAAGAAGCGGGCCCAGTGCCAACTCCTGGATGCCGCCCTGCCGCAAAGAACTGGCAGCAGCCTGGCTGCAGGCGCCACTCCCCTCGCCTGGCAGTGGTGGCATCTCGGTGGTCAGGCCACGGGGAGGAGCGGCCTGAGGCTGGCATCTGAGGGCATGCGCCAGGCCGCCTGGTTCTCAGGCCCCTTCCCCGGGGCAGGCTCTGCTAATCTGAACAAACCCTCCCCTGTGGCAGCTGGTTCCTCCCTGCCCGGGGCACCATGCACTCTACTTCCTCATAATGGGCTCTGACTCCACTCAAGTCGGGGTTGGGGAGACCCACATCCATCCACTTCCTGGCCTCTCCAGGCGCTTTGCCGCCTCTAGCAGCGGGGCAGGTGTGCCCACCTGAGGAGCAAAGGCTCCTCTTCATCCTGTACCTGGCAAATGTCTTTTGGTTAAAGTTTTCAACTTTTTCTTACCTGTTGGGATAGTCATTATAAAGAACACCTGAGTATTGGCGAGGGTGGAGAAATTGGAACCCTCGTGTACCGCTGGTCGGAGACAGTCTGCTCCTTAGTGAGTTAAATAGAATTACCTGTGGTCCAGCAGCCTGCTTCTGGGAAGAGAAAGGAACTGATCGCAGGGGTGGGACGGAGACTTGCTCACCTTTCTTCGTGGCAGCATTACAATAGCCCAGGGGTGGGAGCACCCTAAGTGTCCATCAAGGGTGATTAGGTAAGCACGTGTGGTCCAGCCACACAATGGAATAGTATTTAGCCGTAAAAAAGAAATTCTGACACTACGTGGAGAAACCTGGAGGGCATCATGTTCAGGAAACAAGTCAGGCACAAAAGGACAAACCGATTCCCTTTGCCCGCAGCCTCTGAGGGGTCAGGTTCACGGACAGAAAGTAGAGTGGTGGCAGAGTTTCTGTCGGGGAGGGTGAGTCCTGGAGATGGGGGGGGTGATGGCTGCACAACATGTGAATGTGCCTAATGCGGCTGAGCTGTGCACTTAAAAATGGTGAAGATGGTACCTTTTGTGTTATGTGTATTTTACAATGAAAAGAAAAAAGTCTCTTTAGGGGGAGATGTCCAGAGATGGACAGTAGCTTTCTGGTGGAGAGCCGGGCCCCGGGGCGAGGGCCGAGTGAGCGAGAGCGTGGAGGGCAGACGTTAGTAGGAGTCAGAGCCCTGGGGAATTGGTGAAAACTCAGTGTTTCCACGACGTGTGTGTGTGGAACGACATGTCAGAGTGTTGCTTAAGTGCAGCCGGTGGGCCTGAGAGGCCGGTGGATCTCACAGTTTTGGGGAGGAGGCCCGGCCACCGTGTCCCACTCCTCGCTTTCCGAGGAGTGTTGTCAGTCAGGACTGTGTGACTGAGAACAGTTACAACGAGGCTCCCAGGGCCTGAGGGGCTGAGGTGGGCTTCTCACAGGGAGTGGAAGCAGACCGCGCCCCCAGGAAAGCTCACCAAGCCCAGCAGATGCCAGCGCTGGGCCTCGCCCCTGGTGGCCCACACAGTGTGTGGCCCCTTGGTCACCCCGGCCTGCAGAGCGGGGCACAGGCTCTGCTGGGAGAAGACTAAAGGGGAGTCTCAGTTACTGTTCGGGATGCAGATTCTTGTAAACTAGGAAGAGCCTGTGTATCTTGGCTCCCCAAGTGGATGGTCCATTCCGGGGGGCCCATCAGACCGCATCCTACCTCACCAGCACCGAGCCCCATCAGCGTGTGTGGCTCCCCAACAAATAGCTGGTAGCTACAGGGCTCCAGTGTTCACCTGCTCAGTTCCCCTGAAACTTACACTGTGTCATGATCATCACTATTATTAATAAACAACTTAGACTTGTCAGGTGGGGAATTTAAACCCTGCTCGAGCCTCACGGGGACCTTATGGGATGCTAGACTGCAGTCCCAGGCTTATCGATCTGCTCTTGAGCCATTTCCCATCCCGCAGATGAAGAGGGGCCACCGTGGCTGTGGGACAAGGTGTGGCCATGGGACTCAGCAGGCCGACCACATGTTAAGTGGTCCCCTCTCTGGGCCCCGCCACCTGCGCCTTGTTCTGCCAACATCTCTGGGCTGTGGATGACCACACCTGCTGGGCATTTCACAAGATGTTGACATTGTGGATGTGCCCATTCCTGTCAGGTGTGGCAAGGCTGAGCATGCTCCGGCACCTCCCTCTGCGCAAGGCCACGAATGACTGGCACTTGGGGTTCTGAGATTTTCTTCCTCCTGACCCCTCTGGTGAGGGTCTGGGTATAGCCTGGAGCCATGACCGCTTGAGACCTTGCTAATGCGAGAGGAGCCGAGCCCAGCGGACCTGACATCCAGAGGAGCACGTGGCCCAAGGCGGTGGCCTTGCTGTCAGACACACCTCGGTTTGATCCCCGCTCTGCAGCTTCCTGACCCATGACTGGACAGTGACCATGCAGTGCGTTGGCTTTCTCATTGTCACGAAGGTGCATGTGACAATGTGATCTACTCAGGGCCATGAGAACACTGGCTCCCACAGAGCCACCGAGCGCGCCTGGCACACAGTGAGCACACTGTGAACACAGCGGTGCCCACGGTGTCATCACGGCCAGGAGGGCAGGTGTCCACAAGGGAGGAAGCTTCAGGGCACCAGGTCACTCATGGCAATGCTGGTGTTCAAAATGCTAACTCCTCTCACAGCAGGTGGGAGACCTTCACCTAAAGCTGCCCCAGTGCCACGTATATGTTCCTGTCACCCAGAACTGGTGGCACTTTCACCGCCGGGCCATGAGGTCATGTGTGCTAGGTCGTACCCTGCTTTTGGAAGGAAGTCCTTCTGGGCGTCCAGAGATGTGGCAGCTCAGGAACAAGACCGCTTCTGTGGAAGGGGCCCTGGGGCAGCGGGACAGAGCATGAGGGGAGTTTGGGGCGGAGATGAGGCTCGTTTCACTCAGAGGCAGGAACCGAATCTGGCTTAAGAGGAACTGACTTGTTTGTGGGGGAAGAAAAAGTGTTGGCCTATTGGGTTTCCTTCCAGAATGATAAAACCAGGGTGTTTCTGTGGTCAGGGCAGGGTGCACACGGCCGTCCTGTGGTGTGACCTTTCATCTTGGCCGAGGGTCTCACGGAGGGTATCCAGGGTGGGGAGTCCGTGCAGGGCTCCCTAAGGTTTTCAAGGCCTGGCTCTGCGGGCTGCTGCCCAGGCCGAGGGAAGAGAGCAGGAAGCCGAGGGGCTGGAATCTGGGCGCAGGGCTGTGCCCCTGGGAAGGC